GCCAAAATTATGTAAAAAATAAACAAATAAATACCTGAAATTGATTAAATTGTGGGCCATGTATGTTTCATATATGAAAGTTTAACTTTCTGAATGGAATTATGGAAATTAAACAACTTTTTCACGATATTCTAATTTTTTGGAAAGGATCTGTATAACCCTGCCATTAAGACATGACAACAACTTAAAAAAAACTGCTTTGTCTGATTCAGCAAAAAAATCTACTTTACTGAAAACTAGAATGAGGTAGATTTTGGAGTGAAGTTACTAAACTTTGATTCTACATGCAAAGTAAAATAATGTGAGCGTTTTAACTAAAGCTATCGTGTTCAGAAGACGTAGCCTTTGAAATTCCTGGCTCAAAACCACTTGGGTAATATTTGTGGACAGTTGAACCCTGTGACCTGTTGGTGGGAGTGTGGGACTCACAGTGGGAGCAGGTGGGTGTGTAGAGAGAGAGAAAGAGGGAAGCGTCACATGACGCTCTGTCTAGCTACTGTCATGCTGGTATAAATCTACCTCTGTATATTTAGTCAGCCCTTCTCTCCAGGCTCAGCTACCGTGTTTCTGAGTCCAGGCTACACAGTAGCTTCGACTTCTTCTTCGATCATGACTGGTAAGTAACGGTTCTAAACATTTGAATTTACGGTGTTTGGTTTGCAGTTACATGCGTGACAACGTGGTGACTGTTTACAAAGTTTACAAAAGAGGAATTATTGTTGTCTTTGGGATTCGTAAGTAGAGAAATAAACTACAATGGACATTTAAATGAAAAGCAATGTGTTTTTGTAGGGTGACTGTTGTGTAATAGCTAAAAACGGTTGTTTGTGCCTGGGACTATTTGATGTGGCACACATTCCGTACTTGTATCGTATTTGATGAGTTTGATTGGCGGAGGAATACGGGTAGGTGTTGTTACTCTGACGTAGTGGCCAGGTGTTTGACGTGGTCTGATTAGATAGCAACCTTAAACCTAAAAAACAGTATATATTTATTGAAAATCCTAAATTGTTCTCGAACTAAATTCGTTCCTGAAGGCTGTTTTTAAACCGAAAAGTTTGAAAACGTAAACAATTTTCCAGGTAGGAATCAATGTAAAATGGAAATAATCCGTTGCTGGACGGATGACCGCTTGTTCAAACTTTTTCAACAGCATTTTGTAAACAGGTCCATATACGAAACCAATGAAAAAATAATTAGAGCTAATAAAAAAGATAAACACAACTGAATAAAGCTATAAATAGTTAAGCCAATTTCATTCATTCTTACCGGTGCTGAGGAGTCGTGGTTGCAAAATGGCCGCTTCGTTTCTCACAAATTGTCTCCGAAATACTGTCGTCGGCCAATTGTTGTTTTCGCTACTTTTCTTTCCGTCTTCTTCATTCGGTTTTATGGGGAAAAATAACAATAAAATACAAAAAAATGCAAGAAATACCGGCAAAAACAAACAACTGTCCTTAGCGTGTATCTGCCGAGTGCGGACTGAAGTCACGCGTCAATCAGTGGGTCACCTGCTGCCCGGCTGGACAGGCACCAGGTGACCCACTGGACAACAGAGTTACAGTACGACAACCGGGGCAATCTTTGGTTCGTGAACCAAATTGTTAGAAAAGGGAGGCGTTCGACAACTGGGCTTCCTGTATTGGCCTACATGACACTTAGTAAAAGTAATAATGGTGTTTTGTTGATATTTTAATTTGAAAATTACAGTTATTTGTCATTGAACATGAGGGCCTGTGTGTAGCTTCCAGTAAATGAAGCCCCATAAGTGCCCAAACATTTGCCTGATTTTGCAGGATCTTTTTTTTAATCAGTTTTTGCTTCTCCCACATTGACATATCTTCATATCATACAAACACAGTCTGTCACAGTATTTATATATATATATATATATATATATATAAATGTGTTAATAAATAAATGTTATTAACTTTTGAGAGAGATGGTTTAACAGAAGCACTCGCTAATGTATACCTGTGATAGTGCATGCACCGAGCTATTGCACCTACTGTATGTGACTTGGCAGAAGTAGTGAATATGTTCTTATACACCTGGAAAAAAATTGAAAGATTTTTTTGTTGTCTTTTAATGTTCTTTTTAATGATGTTTTATTCAAATTACACTTTGCAATGCTTGTCCGCATTAGTTTTTCTTTCTCTAAGTCAATCACGTTTTATGGGGCTTCAATATAAACAAGTTCTTCGAACACTTTGTCAAGAATTTAGATACAATTGTTTTGTTTTTTTTTGCTTTTGGTGAGCATGATGTCAGACGTCATACTTTGTAGTGGGGTTCCAAAGTCCAGACCGTCCTCTGTGCTGACACTGTGGGAAGCAGAGCTGACATGCAGAGTTTTGCTTAGCCTAAACTCTCTCTTCTTTGTGCGCTCTAATTGGAGATTTCATGTAGAAATGCTGCAGCTCTAGTTGCACCAATTGAAAAGGGGGGCGTGAGGGAAAGTGGGTGTGAGCCCTGTGAGTCAGCAAGTATTCCTGGCACCTCTGACACTCTCTGACCAGTCCTAATTCATAGAAACACTAGGTTCTTTCTGTAGATTATTTACACGTAACTGTTGGTTTAGTCCCATGGTGTTAATAAATCCACTCCATGAAGGTCTCCAGACAGACACTTGCTTCTCTAGTCATTAGCTGGATTGTTTTACCCAACCCGCCACAGGTTGAACTGAATGCTCCAATAAATTTCATTAGATTTTAACTTAAGTAGACAACCGTGCAATTTTCTGAAGACAGTAGGGCCAACACTTTCTCCATTGACTTATTCCCAAGAAAAGAAAATGTATCCCACATCTATAATCTTTGCTCCCTGTTTTCCTCATCTTTAGACCAGGCTTTTGTGACATTGGCTACCAATGACAGCTATGCTCGGGGGGCCATGGTCCTGGGCAAGTCCCTACGCAACCACAATACATCCAAGAAGCTGGTGGCACTCATTGGTCCACAAGTGTCAGAACCGAGCAAGTAAGAATCCTAACATCTTATCTTTTGGAACGTTCCTGAAACACATCAACATCCACTCTGTGGTGTTTTCTAAGGTCGGTGCTGGAGAGGATCTTCGATGAGGTGAAGGTGGTAGACGTATTGGACAGTGGAGACACAGCACACTTGGCCATGATGAAGAGGCCCGACCTGGGCGTCACCTTCACCAAGCTCCACTGCTGGACCCTCACAGATTACTCCAAATGTGTTTTCATGGACGCAGACACACTGGTGGGGATCAACAAGATCTTTAACAGAAAGTCCTCTGAGACACTGCTGTGTTTGGGTTCTAACACGTCTGTCTTCATCCCAGGTGCTTTCAAATATAGACGAACTGTTTGACAGAGAAGAACTCTCAGCTGCTCCTGATCCTGGCTGGCCCGACTGCTTTAACTCTGGCGTGTTTGTTTTCTGTCCCTCTATGGAGACCCACGGCAAACTGATCCAGTATTGTACAGAACACGGCAGCTTTGACGGTACGTCTGTTTACATCCGCCAGGTTTATTTGTGTGCTCACTTGTATCAACTAAATATTAGGTTTGTTTGTGTGCTCACTTGTATCAACTAAATATTTATTCCAATATTTTCACATTATTCTTTATTTACTATTTTCATTCTATTACAAAAAACATACCCTTTGACTAATGCTTATTTGTATTCGCTAAAACCAGTATTCTTGAAATGGTTTTACTTCACTTCCGGTTTAAAAGTTCTTCAACTTTAGCTTAGCATGTGTGGAATCTTTGGCTCACCACTGGGCTAAATTTTGATGTTGTCACCTCATTATATTTTAGAACATTCTGCTTTAACTAAAATTAGGATTTTGGTCACATGATGTTCTGCTGCGTCTGTTTATCTTGTGCTGTCAGTAATGCCTTTATGGAGCTCAGTGCTGGGACACAAGGCCCTCCTGTTACAGATCATCCAGCTCTGCACAGTTATTCACTGCTGTGGGGCAGGGTGGGGTGTAAGTTAAATTTGAGAGGCCCCGTGTCGCCCCGAGCATTGGTTTGACATTCAGCTCCCTGTTCTCCTTGAGGGGAGGGGGGCGCTGTACTGTAACTGTGCTGTGGTTGTTTGTGTTTTTTTAGTCTGGTTCTCAGTTGAGCAGCAGCTTTTTCTCTGATCAGCGTTGGTGAAAGTCATTGGTCCAAACCTGTGGGAGGAGTGTGGTCCTCATTTCCTGCAGATGACTGTGTTGGATTTTTAACATTTTCTCCAACGTCCAGCTCGTGTCCACAAAAAATCTTTCCAGGTGTTGTACTGAAGCCAACTGTTGGCTCGGTCCATTTGTTATATACGGCCTGTGCTTTTTAACAAACATCCCTTTGTTTTGTTTTTTTTAACCTCACAAATGTCAGAAATAAAAGCCAAGTGGAATAAATACAACTGGAAACTTTAAAGGAGATGTTGTTCCTCAGTGGCTGTGAATCTCTTAAATGGTCAGTGATGAAGCTGTTCTCCCTTTATTATACTCTGAAAGGGATTCCATCAGCTGGAGTTGGAAAACACATTTTAGTTTGCTGGATAATGTCGACTGCTTTCTTGCACTAAACTGATTTTTTTTATTATTATCGAAAGACCAGGTAGCATTGATTTGATTTTCTATGAGCTCCATTACTGTATACAGTAGATTGCCTGTATGTCTTTACTCACCGACCCTGTTGGTTTGCTGATGAGGGAAGGTGTCTTATTTATAGCAATGGATGGACTTTTCATGTCCACAGGATTGGACGTGAGTTAGGTTCCTTTTGACCTTTAGTATTTTAGCCCCGCTCTTTTTTAAGGAGTACATGAAGCGCACGTGCGCGTCTCCGTCTCTCTGCAGGTCACGGTGGAAACATGGCGACGGTGACGACAGACATCAGGAAAAATACTTTCTGTGTTTAATGCTGTCACTGTTTCCAGAGTTGGCTGCTGTGAACCGAATGCAAGAATCAAAGATGAATCACACCCACTGTAGTGGAACTGTAACTGAAGTCCTGCAGTGTGACAGCTGGCTGAGAAGAGGGGTGTGAGGTTGAGTCCTGAGAAACATTGCTCATCTGCCAGTAGACATTTTCTGCTTTACACTCAGTGACATCTTGCAGTTATTCAAACGCAGTCAAATCACCATGATGGTGTTTGCCACTAGGCTGTGCCATACTTATTTTTGTATGACTGTCAAAGCCTTAAAATGACAGACTCTGCAGGCAGCCCGCAGCCATCACCGTAGCAACATCAGCAACTATGATTCTGTCATATCAGCCATGACACAGTGTGGTAGACAGTTCCTTAAAAATAAACCAGAAATGATAGTTAAACCTAAACTTTAAGGATTAGACTGTTCATCTGCAGCCCTCTGCACATGTTTTCTCTTTTTCTTTCTTTGCAATTTTATGGAACTTTTGAAATTTAGTGTCGACCGGTGCGTCCAGTGTTTGTTTGTGAAGTTCTGCTTCCAAAGACTGACGCCATCTAATTGCTCATCAAGCTTCAAAGTGGAAGTTAGCAGTGCCAGCTGGTGGCTAACTTCAAACCGGTGAATCCCCCTTTGTCACCATACATTCTTGGCCATCACTGGCCAGCACCTCGAATTAAACTGGGCCAACATGAATTTTAGAAATCCCCAGTGACGGCGCTGGGTTTGGACACATAGCAGCAATGTGGGTTATTTTAAACCTGCAGCCATTTGTTCAGACAGTACCAGGCCTGTGCTTGTTCATGTAGAAGGTCTTTTTACAGCTGGAGCCTCAGTGTCACTGCAGATATTTACTTATTGGTTTGTGTGTGTGACGCCTGGTGGTCACTGAGCTTGGGTTAATTTATTTTAAACCTGTCTTTAAAATTAAACTTTTCTTAATGATATACAGTCAGGTTGAAGGCAGATTTGTATGTATGAGTGTATAGTTCATACAGCTCTGTGGTCTGTAGACCTGCCCTGCCTGACTGGCCCTGCTCTTCAGAACTGCCCTGGGGTCTGAGTTTGCGTAACCCACCTCAGTGGCAAAACTTGTCCTACTTAAAACCCAGCCAAATGAGTGAGTGTCACAAGCTGTCTGATTCTCCAGTGGTGATTCTAACACTGTGGTAAACTTAGCAAGTGTTAAATCGGTGGAGCAGTGTTGATTCACAGCAGCAGCACAAAGTGCATAACAGTCTGGTTATGTTATTGAAAGCTGAGTAGTTTTGATAACACTGTTGTGATTTTTTTTTTATTATTCCAGACCAAACCAACAGTTACCATTATTACTATAAAATAACTCTCCCTAATGGTAAATCTGACAAAACGTGTGTTTTTTTTCCAATGCTTTCTGTGTTTTGCAGGTTAAAACTGTAAATGATTTGTTGATTAGGTCTGCCGTCAGTTATCTCATATTTCTATCCACATTTTTTTTTACCAATTTTTCCCATAACATATCTGATATTATATTAATTTAACATATTTTCCCCAAATTTCCTCTGGTATCCCTCAGGGTTCTGTGCTTGCATCATTTACACATTGTGCAGTACTTGTTCGCACCAGCTCTACAGCGATAAAACACGAACCTTTTATGGTTCAGCTTGATGAACTCCGACGCAAGACTCTAGAGGGCGCCATGGTTAACACAATGTCACTTTAAATTAACCTCTGACCTCATCCGGTGCTCGTACTCTCATCATCGTGATTGTGTTTGACAGCCGCTGTATTCTAAACCTGTGGAGATGAGAAATGCTAATCTAGCTGTGGCAGGGGTGTGTGTATGTCAATTTTCTGCTCTCTGAACACGGCTTTTCTGGTTCCACTGAAACGCTGCAGTCATGACTTATACCTGTCAAAGTCTGTCATGATCTCAGTTGGCTGTTGACAAACGCCCAGCAGTTTTTGACAACTCCCAGGAGCCACACTTTTAATACCAACAAGGAAGGAAAAAAAAGAAAAAATAATCTTAGTTATTTTCCATTTAAAATGTTGTATAAACCTTTTACATATCGGTGCCGTTGTTTGTTGACTGAATAAGTGTTAAATGTGTCAAATGGAGCATGCTGATTTCTTCTTGTGTCGTGGCAGGTGGAGACCAGGGAGTTCTTAATGGTTTCTTTGACAACTGGGCGACAGCTGACATATCCAAACACCTTCCCTTTATCTACAACCTCAGCAGCATATCCATCTACACTTACCTCCCTGCCTTCAAACAGTAAGTCTTTCTATCAGCCAAGGTCGAGTTAAAAAAGAAAAAACCTTCAGAGTTGAAGATAAGAATACGGCAGCAGCTGTATTGTGATCCACGTGGTGATCCTGTCAGTGTGGCTGAAAAGATTGTTGTTCCAAACCAGAGGTGTAAGCAGATCCTCGATCACATGAAGGTGTAGTGACGTGACATCAGGTTACGTGCACCAAGACTCCAGCAGCCTCGCAGCAGGCCTGGACATTTACCCTGAACTCCTGAACAGCTGATACCGGCTCCTAAAATAGAGTCGTTTATTTAAAGACCTTTTACGTTGGCCTGTAGGATTTGTCATTGTGTATTAAGTCTGACGTCCCCTCCCCTCCCAACCTTCCGCATTCTGAAAGTCTTCTCATCAACAGGCTCTCAGGTTCAGCATTTCCTGGCAGCTAGATCAGAATGACATGGTAATAAACATGTTTTAGTCAACGGTATTTCCCAACCGTGCTGCTTAGAAAAACTCTGAAGAAAAAAACAATACTAACCTTTGAGGATCCATAGCTTTGGAAAATGTATTTTTTGACAATCAGTAAATATTTTTAAAGGTCCTGGACAAGAGGCAGACGTGTAGTCTATAGAAAAAGTAATCCACGAGGTAACTGAACCAATTTTTTTTTATTTCATTTCATTTAACCCAAATAGTCCACAGAATAAAATTCTAATAAAATATTCTGAAGTTCAGTGGACCAACAGCAATGTGGTCTGCTATTAAATGTGTTACTACAGGTGGGGGCCATCATGTAAAGTGATCAAGTGAGGTAAAAAGTCATAGAAGTTCCCAGAAACCAACTATTTCAGTGACTTGATGTCTGGCTGTCTTAGACTAGTCTGAAGCAGTTTAAATAAATTATCTCTTGGTCCAGAGCGAAGTTTAAAGACAGTTTTTACATTTTTCAGCCATTCTGAATTTTTTTTTTAGGTTAGTTCCATATAATTATAACAACAAGTAACCAATCATTTAAGTTACAGAAATCAAAAACACAAGCTAAAATTCATGACCTATTCTGCAGCCAGCCACCAGAGGGCATTTGACTTGACTTAAGTCTCACATGGGCTTCCCTCAACAAAAAATACCATTTACTTTTTAAACTAAATGCTGTGTACACTGTTTTCAAACCTCAGATACGGCGGCCATGCCAAGGTGGTCCATTTCCTGGGGAAGACTAAGCCGTGGAGCTACAAGTTTGATCCCAGAAGCCAACAGATCACGGGGAGTGTGCATGATGCCGACACACATTCCACCTTCCTCGTGGACTGGTGGATCCTGTACTCCAGCGCCGTGGTACCCATGATGCAGCAGCAGTATGGAGATCAGCCTTTTCACTCTGGCTGTGAGGAGGTAAATGGGGAAAAAACGGGACTTTCCTCGTGTGTCACTTATCCTCCTGGTCATATGTCATCATCATTGATGGATGTGTTCTGTCTTTCTGTGTATGTCATAAAGTTCCAGAGTAGTGAAACGGTCACTTTTCAGAGTGAACAGGTATGAAGACGACGGTTTGTTTTTTTTGCTCTTGCTGCAGCAGACTCAACGCTACAGCTGCTAAAACCAACGCTACAGCTGCTAAAACCAGCAGCTTCTGCGTGTGTTTGCCTCTGGCCATTAATCAGAAGAGGCCTCTCACAGCTAGTCCATGCACACAGATGACCGTGTGCTTTTTGTTTTTATTTTCTCTCCTGATTTGTCATTAACTGTCTGTCATTCACTGTCCTTCTGCTCAGGTTGAGATCCTCTCTTCACATTCACAAGCACAGGCACCAGAGCCAGAGGCGCAGATGTCCGCGGAAGAACGGAAGGAGAAGTGGGAGCAAGGTCAGGCAGATTACATGGGAATGGACTCCTTTGACAATATTCAGAAAAAGCTTGATTCATTTCTTAAATAAATAGAGAAACAAAACGGGAGATCAACAAAGCTTGTTGATGTTAGTGTTATCAGAAAGAAAAAAGGTTTTCACATCAGACACATTTTTGCAGTTCACTCTTCCACACATGCTACTCCACTGCTACAAACTCTGAAGACTTAACTTTTTTTTTTTCTTAGGTATTTTGGGGTAAGAAATAATAAAAACTTAGCACTTTTCTCCATGACATCTCACGTGGCTCTCTCATTTCTGTTACATGAACATTCTTATTTTTTACATTAAAGCTGCCTAGGGCTGAGATAATTCTCCGTGTTGTTTTTGAAGGTAGGTGCAGGTGATTGTAACATACTGTAGGTAAAGGACATGTTTACAGCACTCCTAGTGGCCAATGTATGTCGTCATTTAGTAACAGTACACTGGATACTCAGTGCCTTACGCGCTCACACACCTACTGTATGTGCTAGACAGAGCTTTTTAACCAGATGTTTAGGACTTTTCAGATCTTTGACGTTAGCTGATCAGGATGTTTGCTGTACCACGAACTGTTGCATCTGGAACTATAAAAAAACACATGTTTTGGATTTGTACTAGTGTTTCTTTTATTTATTTTAATTTATGTTCTTTTCTTTTATGGATGTCAGTTTTGCACCGAATCTATTTTGCGATTATTTACCTCTTAGCAACATATAGAAGCTGGAAAAATCCAGGACAATAATTTAGTCCTGTCCAAAGATTATGAAGAACATCATGGCCGCCTGCACCTCATGTTAACCAGGACAATTACTAGTACTGGAATCTCGGAACCGACAACTTTGGTAAGTACACAGTTGTTTTGTTTTTTAAAACACACACACACATATATAAAATCGTGTTTGTCGCCATCTAGTGGAAGAAATGTAAATTACAGGGCAATGATTATAAACTAACGTAGCTTTTACTGTATTACACAACAGTGTTTTATGTTTAGGGTCCTCAGAGGAGCTCTTTAAGAAATTCTAGGTCAAGTAGCACAGAGGAGCCTGATTTAGAGACTGATTTATTACTGTGCGTTATACTACCTTTTTATGTTGAGACTTCTATTAGTATCACCACTTTAACAATTTAGACTGGATGTAATGGTGGTCCATGTCAGATCATAAGTCTCCTACAGTCATTTTTAGACCCAGAAACATTCAATAAAATCCGTACTTTTTAAATATTTTATTTGCTGTGATATAAAGGATCCGGTGTCTGAAATTCTCTTTTCCACCGTCTGTTTCAGCCTCTTGTGCCAGTACAGTTAAACTCCCTGCTGATCTTTGGCTCCTTTCTTTTGTTTTTTTCCCCCTTCCACTCAAACAGATGCTTGTTGGAGCGGAGCTGCTGCCAGGAGCACCGCCTGGGTCTATCACACCGAGCTACTGGACTAAAACCCCCTGAAACGGCTGATTCCTCCACCTGTCAGACGTCCACCTCTGGAACATCGCCAGCTGAATCTGACGGGGATCAGTGAGGTTCAAAGGCACCGAGTTTCATCGAACACGTAGTATGTAGTAGTACGGTATGTATATGATGGAAACAGAGATACAGTTTGGTTGCAGTACCTCTTCCAACCAGTATGGGTAGGGTCATTCAAAAAATTGTAATTGTAATTTTCTGGAAATTGCTTAATCTGACCCTGGTCATTCAAAAAATTGTAATTGTCATTTTCTGGAAATTGCTTAATCTGACCCTTGTTGTTGGCATTCTTATAGTCAATGTGGAATTAACTTGATTTTCTTTAAAACAAACCACACACATTTTCTACTTTCCATGTGAGTTATAATTTAGAGCAAAGCCGTTTGTGTTTTGTTCTGTGTTTACCGATGAATCAGAGCCTCAGCCCGACAGACACCACTGTCGTCATACACACACAAAACATGGTTTCAGCGTGTGTGGATGGATCATTGATTTTATTGTTTGCACTCATCTTGACATTCTGTCAAGCACAGCAAGGAAACATGGCGGGTGGTGGCACGTAACCATGGATACTGACTGGATGGTGCTGGGGGGGGTGGGCGGTTACAGAGGAGCTGAGATGGCAGGGGTCCTGGCAGTTCCGCTCTTTTAATAGAGGTTTTTCTGCACGTAGGCGGCGATATACTTGACGGCCAGCATGGTCTCCTTACATGTGGGCTCGATCTGAGACTCGGGCAGCAAGAAGCCGTAGCGGCCGGTGTCACGCAGCTCAAAGGTGTAGGAATATTTTATTCCCAGGTCGTAGGCCCAGTCATCGGAACCTCCAGCAGCAGGGTCTGAGGGCGAGAAAGGAGAGGGGGATTCATCAGCATGGAATGGGTTAATGTTTAAATACAAAAATAGAATACAAAAAAGTATCAGAAGACAAGAAAAAGTATTAGAAGAAAAAAAAGCTTTGTTTTCCAGAAATAGCTTTGGCTCCAGGTTTCCTTTGTTTCCTCCAAGGGCCAAATGTGTGTTTGTGTCGTGAGCTCGTCAGAATAAACAAAAGCAGGGATGGAAATAGATTCAATCAAGTTTCTGTTCAGGACAATCCCTCGCCACAGAGACCAGTGCAGCTGTACTTACAGATGGTTGTAGCACCAGGTCCACTGGTGTAACGGGTGCCGTACAGACTGCGCAGAGCAGCAGAGGCTCCTTCAGCAACCTTCAACTACAATACAGACAGGAAACAAAAACACAAACGCATTAAAGGACTAATCAGTGGGGTTTTCCACGCTGTAAAAGCACAGCCATAAGTCATTTAACCCCTTTGTTTGACTTCATTAAGGTGGGGGGTCTCAAGGACCACTGACCACTGCTGGTTACAATGTATAGTCATATCTAACGCCAGCTCTAAAATTGGACTGAATAGGTCCAGTTAGGAATTTAAAAAAAGGGTGAAATATTAAAGTTATAAATAAAGAAAATTAGTTCACATAACCATAATGATTTTCAAGGCAAAGCAAATTTTATATGGCCAACAAATTATTAAAATTTGTATTATTATAAATTAAAACCTCTTCACAAACAGCTGAAATCCATGATTGAAGCTAAAAGTCAGAATGTCCCTGTGGGGAAAAAAGAGAACGTTCTACACATCATTTTTCAGGAAATTATAAAAATATATAAATAAACTCTGCAGAGTGAGTTCAGGCAGGAAATGAAAGCCTGTTGCAGGATATGACACAGAAGAGCGTGCGTGGACGGACAGATGAGTGAAGACACACGTCTGACCCACAATTCCTTTGTTCCGTGGAGCGTCGGCAGAGAGTGTGAATTACCGCAGAGTAACAGGAATTAGAGACGGAGACATGTGATCAGTCCCAGTTAGTGTGAGAGCTGGAGTCGGGGTGTGAGTGTTAACTACAGTCCCTGGAAACCCTGGTGAGAGGTAAAAGAGCCGTGAGGAGGAGGAGGAGGAAGAGGAGAGGGGGGAGGTGACAGGAGGGGAGTAAGTGATTGTCAGCAGCTAATTGTCTCTTTCGGATAAGAGCCATTTTGGAAACTCCTCGGAGGTGAATGGTGTTTGAGGTTCATGTTGTGTAGAATTAATGTGAGGAATTTGAAGTGTTCACGTCTTCGTTGTTTTACAAAATTCATTTCAGGAATTTAACTCCGGGCTGTGGCTTTAAAATCGGATTAAATAAGGCTTAAAGCATGTTGTACATTAAGAAAGTCTGACCAGGACTCGAACCCCATTAGGTGTCAACATGTCCTCAGACTAGAAGTGGACTTGGACTTTGACTAGAACCCCCAGGACCTTGACTTGGACTTGACTTCTTCTTTAATTTGAAACTCTGTAGGTGCCAACATGACCGTCGACTAGAACTTTAGCTTTTTCTTCATTGACTCGAGTCCAAGTTTCAAGAGTTTTGACTCAGTGAAATGGGCTTTGACTTGAATCTCTTGACTTGGACTCTGAACCTACATTTTGGAACACTGTTTGAACTTGGATCCCTGACTTGGACTCGACACTCGAATCCTCACTTGTGCCAGAGACAGTTGATAAAACAATGTCAGAGTGGTAGGTGCTGTGGTCCGTGACCCAGACTAGTGTGGGACTCACCAGCTCACTGTGGGTTGCAGCCAGCTTGTAGGTGTAGGAGTAGGGGAAGAGCAGCAGCTGGGAGTAGGAGTGGATGGTCAGGTAGGCCTTGATGTTGGACTTGTTTCTGCGGATGAAGTCGGCGACGTTCCTGACCTCGATCTCAGACTCGGGACTGTAGCCACAGAAGGTGTCACTGCAGGGGCTGCTGGAGGCGCCCATGGCTGGTGTTCAAACAGTGGATAGTTACAGATACACAGAGTACTAGACAAGTATACAAACCAAAGTATTTCTGGATGGACACCCAGCTACGTATCTAACTTTTATCCTGTTCATGTTTGTACAGCTGACTCGGACCTGTGCCAAGACTTTTTTTTAAAAAATGTTCAGCTATTTGTGCAATTTTATTTTGCTAAAAAAAAAAAAGTTTAGCTATTTGTGCAATTTTATTTTGCTAAATGTTTCTGTTATCACTATTAGCACTTTTTTGACCCTTTTTTTGGCCTAATGTTTTGTTATTGTATGGTTGTATAGTAAAAATAAATCATATATTAAATAATAAGAAGAAAGATTAGCTAAATTGCCAGAAGAAACATGCTACACATTGTTGCTAATTGCTAATTTCTTCCAGTTTGTAACTGTTTGAGCGCTAATTTCTTTCAGTTCGTAACTGTTTGAGCTTTATTTTATGCTTTATACTTAATATATATATATAAATATACTTACATATACTTATATATATACTTATATGTACTTCCTGATACTCTTAGCTTCTTCTGTTGTAAATTATCTCTGCCCTAAATCAACCTTTTTTTTTTTCCTGATACTTAAAAAAAACCCAGAAATGTCCCACTCCTTTGAGACTTAATCTAAGTCAACTGCTTCAAAACCAGAACCCTACATCAGGCTGCACTTACTGCACCAGCCAGCATTCCAATTCCTGTTGGGATCAGCTCCGATGCAGCTGGATCCAGACTTCCTGGAGCGAGTTTTCCTCCACATCCTGTTCTGGAATTCCCAGGTGGACAGTAAAAATGTCAGTTCAAAAATAATAACAAATTATTTCGAGCTAACAACAGAGTATTTCATTTCACCACATACATTCTTGTGGGTGTAGTCGTAGCCGTCGATGTTGAAAACGGGCAGAACGTAGACGTCCATCTGGTCGAGCAGGCTGGTCATCTGGGCGTCGCTGCCGTAGGTGGTCAGAGCCTGAGGTTGAAGAAGGTCTGAGATG